ACTAAAATCCTTGAATTGTACGCCCTACTGTGGGTAAATTTTGTGGTGTGTACTAAGTTAAGCTGTTTGTTTAAAAAGCAGGAGACCTCTTGCCCTTCTTCTCAGGTACTTATGAGGACTCAGTGAGTGAAATTTTGCCAGGCTGGTACTGTGTGTGTGTGTGTGTGTGTGTGTGTGTGTGGTAGGGAAGGGCAGTTCCAAAGCAGGCCTGAGTTGGGTTATGCATTGGGTGTAGTTCTCATAAGAGAGGTGCCCAGCTCAAGCCACCTGCCAACAGGAAGTGGTAAGCAGTTCGGTCTTGCTTCTTGCTTGGGAAGCACCCCCCCCCCCCAGCGTGTGGCGGAAGACCCAGCCCACAAGGCCAGAGCCACAAGTGCTGCCGGGAAGGCCGGGTGACACCCCTCTGCCTTCAGCAACAGAGGGGAAACCAGGGGCCTCCCTCGGGGCCAGTGAGGACACACACTTGAGGTGCGAGGCATGTGGGGTGCCCCGGAACAGCACGGTCAGCTTGATTGTGGATGGTAGTGTCAACCACACAGGAGGGAGAGGGGAGGGGAGCAGCCAGGGGCCTCCACCACCCGCTGCTGAAAAGTTCACAGCCACCCAAGTGCACAGCTGCTCCTTCAAGGGGAGGCAGGGGTGATGAAGGTAAAATAGTTTTAGATCAATTTCCCACTGATGCCAGGCGTATATGCCCTCAAGCACCCGGGGAGGCAGGTGTGCCTTACTTTACTCTCTGGCCTTGAGTCCCCGCCTGAAAGAAGTTGCTCTGTCCTCACTGCTGTGGGGATTAAGTGAGTTAATACACGGGAAGCACCTGGACAGCGCCTGACACCCAGTCGGCTCTCCGCAGGAGCCGAGTGAATGAATGGGCAGCTTTGGCTCAGGCTTTGCGCTCTCCTGGGCCTCAGTTTCCCCACTTGGATACCCAGGGATCCGGATGGGACACTCCCAACATTCTGACTCAGGAAAACAGTGGTTAAGAGCGCCGACTTTGGAACCAATCCCAACGCGAGCCGTCTGACCTTGGGCAAGCTGTCTGGGCTCTCTGCCTCATTCTCCTCCTCCTGAAAATGGGGGTCATGAGAACACCTACCCACAGAATCGTGAAGATGAGCTCATCCTTACAGCAGGGCCCTGTTTCAGTGTTAGCTGCTGCTCTTGTCATTGTGATTCTCCCCTTCGTGAAGGTGTGGTCACCAAGGCCCAGACAAGGGACTCACTCAAGGTCACCCAGCTAAAAAGTGGCGCACGGCAGGATCAAGGGCAAGCCTGCTGAGCCCTGAGGTCCGTGCTGTTTCTGTCGCTCCCCACTGTGCCTCTTAAGTCACATGCGTGGTAACTGGGTCAGAGGCACTGTGTACCTGGGCCATGACACAGCAACAGGGGATGGCTGTGTGGATTAATTCCTTGTCACCTGCTGATGCCTTACAGAGAACAGGCCGGAAGGGAGAGAGAGGTTGTGAAGGAGGGAGGGGTCAATAGTGAAGACCCCCAAAACTGGCCCTAGGAACGAAAGGAAGGGATGAGGGCAAGTTGGATCAGATGTAACCCCTACCCCCCCCCCCGGGGACCTCTTGGCCTGTTGATGGGGACAGACAGGGGACAGAGTTGAGATCACCCCAAGACATTTCAACAGGAACCCTCAGAGAGAGACACACAGACCCTGTGTGAATCCTGGGGCTCAGCAGAGGCAGGAATCGGCACCTGGGGCAGCAGGGAAGGCTTCCTAGAGGAATGGGACCTGAGGAATGTGGATGGGGCAGGGGGAGGTCCAGGCGGGCAGCAGGACCGGCAGAGGAGACGAGAGAGAGGCAGTGCAGGGTGGTGATCACAGCGCGGGCTGAACCTGGAGTGCAGGGGGCAAATGTGGGACCCAAACCCACCCCGCTGTGGCTGGGCCCCTGACCCAGACCGGTGCCTACACAGTGCAACCCTGAGGCCAAAGCAGCAGGGATGAGCCACGCACCCAACGGCCCCTGCGTGAGGGAGGAGGGGAGAGAGGGAAGAAGAGCTTCTAGCAACTTGCAGCTACCAGTAAATCTCCAGAGGATGCAGAGACAGCCCAAAATGACTGGCAGGGCCACAGCCCGAAGTGGGAGCATCACACATGTGTGTGCGCATGGACGTGCACACCCATGGCCTGCCCCGCGTAGCAGCCCTCGGGGAGGCCACACACGTCAGGAGAAGTAGGTCAGCCGAGCAGCCCAGCGCTCTCACTGGCAGGCCGGTGGGGGGAGAGCTCAAGGCAAAGAGGGTGTGTACTCCTCGGAACCCCTGGGGGAGAGGCCCGCACTCTCCCCAGAACGCGCTGTCCATCTCCCTGCTGCATCAAAGCAGATGGCCTGCGGTTCCTCGCTCCGAACTCTCAGCCTCCCCCCACAGCCAGGGTAGTGTGTGGGCATTTGACAGAGGTTGGGACGGGTGACCCCTTCCAGCGCTGAAAGCAAGGAAGGACCATCGTGGGGAGAGGCCGCCCACTTTAGCCTAGTCGGTGGCTGCAGTAAGAGCGACCCAGTGCTGTCCGGCCAGAGCTGGGACTGCGTAGAGACTTGGTGACAGGTGTCACGGCCCAGCTGGGTGGCTGAGGTAGGGGAGCAGGACCCCGTCTCTGTGGGCCTGGCACCATCCCTTGCCCTGGGGGGGGTCTAGGAAATGAGCTAGTCCAGGCTACAGATGGGCCCCTCTGAGGGCATTCGCATGGCGTTTCCGACAGACTGAAGGAATTAGGAAAAGCAAGGCAGTGGCTGTGGCGGGGGAAGGTTCTATAGAACAGGACTTGCTCATGAATGGAGGGGAAGGGGGCTGAGAGGGGGAGCAGGATCCTTGAGGCAGCAGAAGGGGCAGGAGCCAAATCGGAGGAGGGGAGGAGGGGAGGAGGGCCCCCTGCTCCCCCAGCCAGCCGGAGGACGTGCAGATGGAGCTCCGTTTGGGGCTGGGTGGGAGGCCAGGAAGTTCCCTCCTGATGTTCCTCCTCTTTGTGTGAAGTGGGAGGCTGGGTCGTGCCAAGAGGGAAGGGGAAGGCAGAGGAGGAGAAGAGGGTTTGGGCCTGGAAGGGTTGCTGCTGGGCCAGGGTGAGCATGCAGGGCTCCCGGAGAGCCCACCCCTGCTCATAGCCTCCGCGGGCCCGGCTAGAGGGAACACAGATCCCACTCCTGAGAGAGCACAGGCACCTGGCCCTTACAGAGCACTTACTGGGTACTGAGCACCAAGCACTCCACGGCTAAGTCCTTTAGTAAGTCACAAGACCGTAGGGAGAAGGCACTATTCTATCCTTTTTATAGATGGAAAACTAAGGCAAGGGAAGATGAAGGTACTTGCCCAAGGCCATCCGGCTAGCAGGTGACAGAGCTGGACCCAAAGCCAGGCCAGCCGGCTCCAAGTCTGCTTTCTCTCCCAGAGCCCTGGGCTGTCTTGCAGGGGTGGGGGCTGGGGGAGCATGGGCTGAGTCACCTGGGATTGGAGGTAGGAGGGAGTGAGCTGAGGGCAGAAGAGGTGCGCCAGGAGGCAGGCTCCTGGGGCTCGGCTTCCAGAGGATTCAGTGCCGGCCTCTCCTGCCGATACACGCACAGACAGGAGCACACCTGCTCTGGAAGCCCGGCTCCCCGGCCCAACCCCCTTCCCGCTTGACAGACAAGAAATGCAGGCCCCAGATGGGCATTCGCTGTCACCCTGCCCGGGGCTCTCCCCGCCGCAGCTCTCTGCCCCCCAACACCATCTGGGGACAGACTTGGTACCTCTGACGGGTGCGTGCAGTTTGTGTGGTCTCCAAAGGGGTCAGTCAGGCTGTGAATGGGGAGGGTTGGGGCTTTGTGGGACGGGCGCCCTGCCTTGTGTCCGGGGTGGGAGGAGGCTGGGCGGGGCCCTGAGACTGCACCTGTAGCTGTGTGGACCTGAGTGGGGGGGGTGTTGTCTGTGGAGGGGCAGGGATGGAAGGCCACGGTGGGTGTGTGGCCATATCTGCACCATCCTGCCAGAGTTCTGTCTGACGCTACTTGGCTGAGGAATTTGGTACTGTGATCCCTGCCCTCAGACCTCATGTTCCTCACCCCCTGCCTTCCATTCTCAAAAGCCTAGATCACCTTTTATGAGCATACATAATTCATGTATTCACTATTTATTGTCCATCGCCCCCCCCTTGGAGCATAAGTCCCATGAGGGTGGGATTCTTTTTTTTTTTTTTTAGATTTTTTTATTTATTTATTTGAGAGAGAGAATGAGAGCGAGAGAGAGCACATGAGAGGGGGAAGGGTCAGAGGGAGAAGCAGACTCCCCGCTGAGCAGGGAGCCTGATGCGGGACTCGATCCCGGGACTCCAGGATCATGACCTGAGCCGAAGGCAGTCGCTTAACCAACTGAGCCACCCAGGCACCCGGGATTCTTTTTTTTTTTTATATGTAAAAGATTTTATTTATTCATTTGAGAGAGAGAGAGAGCACAGGGTAGGGAGGGGCAGAGGGAGAAGGAAAAGCAGACTCCCTGCTGAGCAGGGAGCCGAATGAGGGGCTCGATCCCAGCACCCAGAGATCAGCCTGAGCCAAAGGCAGACGCTTAACCGACTGAGCCACCCAGGCATCCTGAGGGTGGGATTCTTATCTGTTTAGTGTTGTGTCCCCACAGCTGTGAACAGCAAGCCCCTGGTGAACAGCAGGTGTGCATCAATATCTATGAATAGGAGCCCCCGTGTGAACTTGGTATATGGAGTGTCTTTGTGTGACATAAACACGTGTGCCTTGTCTGATGCTGCGTCTGAATGACAGCCTGAGACAGGCCAGTGGCACCCAAGTGGGGACTGCAGGCATCTGCTGAGAGTGCTGGCTCAGGCCTGGCCCTGAAGCTTTGGGGAACTGGGATGCAGCAAAGATGCTTGTCGCCCCCTTGTGGTCATCTTGAGCCCGGCATCCTGGGACCCTAGGTACTGGGGAAGGAGGAGGTGGGTGGACCAGGGGACCCTGGCTTCACGTCACATTTCATGCCACATCCCCCATAACAGGGAGAAGATGAGCGTGGGCTGCCCAGAGCCTGAGCCACCCCGCTCCCTGCCCTGCTGTGGGCCGGGGACTGCCCCTGGGCTGGGTGCAGGGGTGCCCCTCCTCACTGAAGACATGCAGGCACTGACGCTCCGCACCCTGGCTGCCAGCGATGTCACCAAGCACTACGAACTCGTCCGGGAGCTAGGCAAGGGCACCTATGGGAAGGTGGACCTCGTGGCCTACAAGGGCACAGGTGAGCCTCTGCAGGGCGGCCGGTTTTGAAGGCAGGGGTGGGGACTTGTCTGGGGCTCTCAGGTGCTCACTTCGGGAGCCAAGAGGTCAGCAGGGAGACAGAGTTCGTGGCCCAGGTGGAGAGATGCAGCCTGAGCGGCCCAGGGAGACCTGAGAGGGGATATAGGGCCCAGGCTGGAGGGTGGGCTGCTTGGGGACAGCTGAGGGGCTGACCCTGGGACATCTGGAGCTCAGGAGAGAAGTCAGGGCTGACCCCAGGGAAGTGGACAGGGCTGAGGGTGGGTCCTTGGAAACTGGGCACTGTGCTTAAGGAGAGGTGGGAGATGCCCCTGGGAGGTCAGTATGGCCATCTCCGTTGCTCACATGAAGACAGTGAGACCCAGAGATCCAGTCATTCAGCTAAGGTCGTGCAGCTAGAGAGGGTTCGAGCCAGGACGAGACCCCAGTAATCAGCTCCAGAATCTTCTCGCTTAACCAGGAGCACAATGCCTTCCCCACACCATAGGCTCACAGCGGCGCCCACTCGGCCAGTCAGGGACAGGGACTGCATGAGCTCCCACAGCTGCACTCACCTGGGGCAGGGGGCTCTGTGCCAACTGACAGCTGCAGGAGGAGCCCTGGACAAGGGATTGCCTGAGCTTTGCCATTTGCTCTCTGTGTGACCTTGGGCAAGTGGCTTAACCTCTCTGTGCCTAGGTTCCTCCTCTGTAAAATAGGGTAGCGATTCAGGCTGGCCCACCTCCTAGGATCATTAGGAGGAGCAGGTTGTGAACGGGGAGTGCTGAGGGGAGGGCCTGTGACGTGTAAATGCTCTGTGGACGCGTGTGCTTCCCCCGGGGGGGGGTACAGACGGCCACCTAAGCACAAAGTTGGGGACATACGCCTTGCGGCCCCTCACCTCTCAGTGTCTAATTCCTTCTTATCCACCCATTCAGCACACCTTCATTGAGCAGCTACGAGGCACGGCCCTGTTGTAGGCACTGGGGATACAGCAGTGAGCGAGACAAAGATTCCTGTGCTCAGGGGGCTACGTCCTAGCGGGGGACGGGGGCGGGGGGCGGGGGGAGAGCCACCAGATGAAATCAGTATGTTGTATGTCAGGCAGAAAAGAAGAGTGTGGAGGAAGGAGCAGGCCGTCCTCACCGAGGGCTGCAGGAGGGTGCAGGAGACCCAGGCTGACCCCTGAGTCGCTGCATGGCCTCTGGCAAGTCCTTTCCCCTGCGCTGGGCCTCAGTTTGCTACCAGTAGGATGAGGACAGACCCCCGCGGCCTCGCGGCCCGGACAGGCAGGCCTGGGGATGGCGGGTGCAGGAGCGCTGGGTCAGGGGCCTTCACCACTGCGGCTGCTGCCCCATCAGGCACGAAAATGGCGCTGAAGTTTGTGAACAAGAGCAAGACCAAGCTGAAGAACTTCCTGCGGGAGGTGAGCATCACCAACAGCCTCTCCTCCAGCCCCTTCATCATCAAGGTCTTTGACGTGGTTTTTGAGACGGAGGACTGCTACGTGTTCGCCCAAGAGTATGCGCCTGCAGGGGACCTGTTCGACATCATTCCCCCTCAGGTACTTGGTGTGGTGGCACGGAGACGGGAGGGTCCTCCGGCCCCAGGACAGACGGAGCCAGCAGCTACATAGGAACAGTGGGGACCCAAGAGGGGAGACGAGGCAGCGGGGCCACCAGGGGCTTCCCGGAGGAAGTGCTCTGGAGTGGGGGGAGAGTGCCAGGAGGACTCCAGGCTCCCGGCTCTGTGTTTAGCGGCGGGGGGGCGGGGGGGGGAGTCTGCGCCGGCGCCCAGTGGGCGAGTGGCAAGGCCTCGCAGAGCCTGGCGTCCCTATAAGGGAAGTGGTGCAATGGCGGCCGCCGGCAGCTGGTGAGACGGTGCGGGAGAGCGCGCTCAGGGCAGTGGCCGGGGAGGAGGGTGCGGGGTGAAAACTAGCGGGCCAGGGAGGGAGCAGGCGTACCCCCCCACCCCGTGGGATGGGGGCAGGCAGCAGGGAGGGCCACGGCCAGGGGGGACTGGCAGCAGTGGGGACTGAGAGGCGGGGCGGGGGGGGAACTGCCGTGGGGGGTGGCGGCCGTCCCTGATCGCTACTCCCCCCCTCTACCCCCCGTCCCCCCCGGCCGGCAGGTGGGGCTCCCCGAGGACACGGTGAAGCGCTGCGTGCAGCAGCTGGGCCTGGCGCTGGACTTCATGCACGGGCGGCAGCTGGTGCACCGCGACATCAAGCCCGAGAACGTGCTGCTGTTCGACCGCGAGTGCCGCCGCGTGAAGCTGGCCGACTTCGGCATGACGCGCCGCGTGGGCTGCCGCGTGAAGCGGGTCAGCGGCACCATCCCGTACACGGCGCCCGAGGTGTGCCAGGCGGGCCGCGCCGACGGCTTCGCGGTGGACACGGGCGTGGACGTGTGGGCCTTCGGCGTGCTCATCTTCTGCGTGCTCACCGGCAACTTCCCGTGGGAGGCGGCGTCGGGCGCCGACGCCTTCTTTGAGGAGTTCGTGCGCTGGCAGCGGGGCCGCCTGCCGGGGCTGCCGTCGCAGTGGCGCCGCTTCACCGAGCCCGCGCTGCGCATGTTCCAGCGCCTGCTGGCCCTGGAGCCCGAGCGCCGCGGGCCGGCCAAGGAGGTCTTCCGCTTCCTCAAGCACGAGCTCACGTCCGAGCTGCGGCGCCGGCCCTCGCACCGCGCGCGCAAGCCCGCCGGGGACCGCCCGCCCGCCGCCGGGCCGCTGCGCCTCGAGGCGCCCGGGCCGCTCAAGCGGACGGTGCTGACCGAGAGCGGCAGCGGCTCCCGGCCCGCGCCCCCTGCCGTCGGGCCCGCGCCTGCGCCCGCGCCCGCGCCGGTGCCGGTGCCCGTGCCCGTGCCCGTGCCCGAGGCCGGCCTGGCGCCCCCGGGGCCCCCCGGCAGGACCGACGGCCGCCCGGACAAGAGCAAAGGGCAGGTGGTGCTGGCCACGGCCATTGAGATCTGCGTCTGAGCCGCCCCCGCCGTGCTCGCACCAGGCCGGGCCCGCGCTGAGCCGGGGGAGGGGGGGGATGGGGGGGATGCGAATCCGACCGCCCCCCGCCCCCCACGCCCGCGGCGGCGGGGGGAGTAGCGCTAGGCTGGGCGGGGCTGCGGACCCGGGCGCCCGGTTCGCGGCGGGCTGCGGAGATAGCCACCAAAAGACCTCTTGCCCCGCCTGTGGGGCGGGGGCTTGGGTCCCAGGAGCAGAGCCCCGCAGACCGGAGGATTCAGAGGCACCCCTGACACCCGGAGCGAGGGAGCTTGCGGGCAGACTCCCCTCACCAAAACACACACACACACACACCTCCCCTAACCCTGGAACCCTGACTAGTTGCTCCTAGCCCTTTGCACCCCCTGGCCGATCATCCCGCAGCCCCACCCCTGGTCCTCCCTCCTGGCCGCCCTCCCCGCCCCCCCCACACCCGGGCACAGAAGGGGACGGAAGTGTTGGGGCAGAGAAGGGGCTACTTAGGGCCCTCGGATGCTGGCTAGGGGGAGGGCGACGAGCTGAGGGCAGGCGTGTTGCTCAGCTGCGCCCTGTCCCTTTCCTGGGAGGCTATAGGGGAGAGGCCAAGCCCTCTGCAAAATGTAGCAAATGTCTGGATGTGGCAAAAGGTGTGTGTGTGTGTGTGTGTGTGCCCGCGCAGGTACAAGCCCGAAGAATCTAGTAACTCCCACAACCCATTCCCCCAAGATGAGGACACTGAGCCCCGAAAGAGGGCAACTTGCCCCGAGCTGCAGGGACCCTGAGAGGTGGAGCTCTAGAAGCCCTCCCCCGAGCTGCAGGGACCCTGAGAGGTGGAGCTCTAGAAGCCCTCCCCCGCCTCCCCATGAATTGTCCCGAAAACTCGCCAAGGGAAGGGCTGCCAGGGTGGCGGCCCCGGCATCCCAGGGCGACGGCTGTGAGTGCAAAGCCCAGGGCCGGCCCAGCTCCCCAGCTGGCTGCACCTTCCCCGACCCGGGAACCTCAGATCCCCTCGATCCTGGCTCCCCGAGCCCAGACGCAGAGGTGATCTGTGCCACGAATTTCCCTGGGTTTCTGCTGGGGACCAGCATGTCAGCTCTGGGCTGCCCCCATCCCCACGTCTCCCAGCTTCCTGGTACTGGAGTGGGCCGCTGTGGGTGTGAGGATGCTGTGGGAATGAGGGTGGGGGTCCATGGAAACGCGAGGAGGGTGAGTGTGTGAATAGGTGTGTGTGTGCGGCGTGAGTGTGAGTCGAGTGCCCACGTTTGCGTGTAGTCTCATGTGTTCAGCGATGGCATCCAGACGCCTCCGAAACTCCGCCCGGCCCCAGGGTCCTCCTCAGGCAGTTGCCAGCGGGTGTCCAGGCCCGTGCTTCACCACGCGCCCCTCAGGGAATCTGGCCGGGAGGCACCCGCAGGTGGGTTCAGGCCCCGAGGCAGCAAAACAGGAACCCAACCTCACCCAGTGTTCCCTCATGACCCCTGCGCTCGCTGTGGAGGCCCGGGACCCCGCAATAACCTCGACATGGGTGAGGCCGCTCCTTCTGCCTGGCAGGGGCCCCTCGGCCATCCCGGGCCACACCTGCCAGGGTCCTACCAGGGCTCCAGGCCATTGGAGGGGGCTCTCCGAGGAGCCCGGCTGACCAGAGAGGGCCCAACCACCCTCTGGCCCGGAGCCCCCACCTCTCTCCGCTCATCCCTCATTCCCACCGCGCAAAAGGGCTATAGGTCCCCCTGCCCTGCCTGGGTCCAGTTTACAAACAGCGTGCGGTTTGCCCCAGGGCCTGGCCCCGCCCTCCTCGGTGTGCCCGTCCCTCCGGAGGCCCTCCTCTGCCCTGGGCCCTGGGGCCCTCCACGCGCCAGGTAAGTAGCAATCCCTCCTCCCACCAAGGGCCACATTTCAGAGAAGGGCCCTCCCATCACTGCCCCCGGCCCACCTGGAGCCCATCTGGGCCACCTCTCCCAGCCGCGACTTCTCCTTTTGCCTTAGGCCTCTCGACATCCTGTCTCTCCTGCAATAACACAGACGCAAGATTCCAAGTAGATGTCCCTTGCCGTGCGCCCTCTCTCTCTCTTTCTCTGTTAAGATCCTATTTGGGAGTTTCTCCCTCGTCGTAGTATCTAGAATGTTAGAGCTGGAAAGGGGACTGTAGTTCTGTAGCCCAGCCTCTGTGTTCAGAGGCACAGGGAGGGGCAGCGACCACTTGACACCGGAGCGGAACCTGGCCAGGCCCGCTCTCTCGCCGTCGGGGCCCTGCTGCGCTGTCACCGCCACCTCAGCTACTTGGGTTGGGACCCTTTGCCCCTTAGGAGAGGTGTTGGTCACTGATGTTTACCTCAGTTTATGTCACTGTCGAAGAAACAAATAGCAAAAAATTAATAACACCGTAGACACGAAGACTTAGCAGACAACACACAAAAAATCTTCCTCTTTCAATTCTTCTGTGAAGCTGTGTGTATGTGTGTGCGTGTGTGTGTGTGTCTCTCTCTCTCTCTCTTCTCTCTCTCTGTCCCACCCTGGGCAGGCCGGGTCATCCCCGATCTCTGTCCCAGCCCCTGTGCCCCCACACTGCCCCTGTCCTTCGGTGCTTCCCAGAGGCCCCTCTGAGCTGGCCTGTGGGGTGTGGGGAGCCCCCTGGGCGGGAGGCAGGGCCACAGGTTATCTAGAGGGCCTCCCATCAGGCCCACTGAGAGAGCCCCGAGGCTGCCAACACTCCCTGAGCCTGTGCCGTGGCCGGTGGGACAGTCGTGGTGACTAGCATCAGCGTCCAAGCCTGGCTCAGGGCCTGGGCAGAACCCCAGCTCCCGAGCCCCAGCCCCTCATGTCTTGCCACCACCCCCCCACACCATGTGTTTGTAAATACTCTGGCATCCTTTGGCCCTGAGAAGGTTTTTAAATGTGTTATTTACTTCTCTAATCATGACAATTGCTATAAAATAAAGTCTAGAAAAATTACCATCGAGTGGCTGTCTTGTCTCAGAATACAGAGTAGGGAGTGGGGCACACAATTATTCTTGAGCTGAAAGCTTGACAGATGTTCTAAAGTGGGGTCTGCGGAGTCTGAGAGCAGTTACTTCAGACCTAGAGGAGGCTTGAAGGCCACAGGAACAAGGACCAGGTTCTGGGAGGGAAGGGGCAGCGACTCGTCCCTGGCCCGATGTCCAGCTTCAGCTTGGAGCCCTCAGACTGGGCAGAAAATAGAAGCCAACGCCCAGAGGAACAGAGTAGGCTGATTTAACCAGTCGTCACCCAGCAAATATTTACCGAGCACATTCTGCGTCCCACCCGGGATACAGCAGTGAGCAGGCCAGATGGTGTCCCTGTCCTCAGGCAGCCAGCGATGGAATGATGGAGACAGACATAACCCACATTTAAGGCTGGGTGCTGGGAAAGTACATAACTGGGAAGCTCATCAAGTTTGGGGGTGTCAGGAGCTCACCAAAGACAGAAAACCAGAGGATTCGGAGTTCTCTGGGCAGCAGGGCATGGCTGGGTGGGAAGAAGCTGAAAGGGCAGAGTTAAAGGCAAAATGGAGTGCTGAAGGTGGGGGAGCTGGGGTGGGCTGTAAGGAGCTTCACGATTCCACATTCATTCAGCAAGAATTTATTACCGTCTCATAGATAAGATCTTTCCCTCTGTTCCAGACCCTTCGATAGCTCCTTATACCACCCAGTCAAGGCTGAAGTCCTTAGGGTGGACTCCAAGGTCCCACCCCATCCCCACCTCCTCTCCCCTGGCCCCTAGGACCACCCAACATGCTCTCCCCTCAGGGCCTGTACCTTTCCCTGGAACTCTCCCAAATCTCCCACCTCCCTCCTGCCTTCCTCCCGTCCTTCAGGTCCCTGCTCAAATATCAAGCTATCAGAGAAAACTTCCTAGAGCAGAAGCCCCTTACCCTGAGCGCTCATCACCACTCCGGATCCCATGTTCTCGTTTGTCCTCCATCTCCGTACGCTAGCACGGCAGTTCCATAAGACCAGTCAGTGTTTGGCAAACTGCTATCCCCTCAACACCCCCAATGCCTAGGAGAGGGCCTAGCACAGAACAGACACTCCCTAACGGTTTGTCAGCTTAATGAATGAATGCCCAGGGCGCCTGGGTGGCTCAGTTGGTTAAGTGACTGCCTTCGGCTCAGGTCATGATCCTGGAGTCCTGGGATCGAGTCCCGCATCGGGCTCCCTGCTCAGCAGGGAGTCTGCTTCTCCCTCTGACCCTCTTCCCTCTCATGCTCTCTATCTCTCATTCTCTCTCTCTCAAATAAATAAATAAAAAATCTTAAAAAAAAAATGAATGAATGCCCAATACTATTTTAGGCGGCGAGGATACAGCAACAAACAAGACAAACAATCCCTAGCCCCTGAAGCTTACTTGCTGAAGAGGAAAATAGACATCAATTAGATTACATAATTATCTATGAAATGCGGGTGGGGGTGAAAAAATAAGAAAAAATAAGAGAAAAACAAATCCACCCAAACTAGATCAGAGGGGAAAGTACTCGTCCCCAAGAATTTTATCTAGGATACGTTAAAGAAAAACTGTCATTTCAAACCATCTGCCACTTCTCTTCAATGATAAGACTGGACACCCAGGGGCTTCACAGAACACTTTAATGGATTATTAAGGGGTGGAGGGGAAATCCACAAATGCAAACAGTATCTCTGGATCCCCCCCCTTGGTGTACAAATATCACCTTGGAACTGCCGATGTGTCAGGTAATACCATGACTTGCCACTAGGGGGCCTTGTTTTTCCGCCGCTGTTGCTTTTGTCTGGGGCTTAGCATCGCAGCGCAATTCCCCTGTCGCCGCGCTCGGTCAGGCCCCAGGGACTTGACCAGAAGGGTTTCCAGCCCCTCCCACACACTATATCGGAGCCAGAGCAATCCCTGCAACCCTTAGGTCCTTCCATTTAGCCTGGGTCACCTGCCCTTGCTTGTGGCAAGTGCCTTCTCAAAGGCACTTGGTGTCTTCTCCTGCCCATAGTCTTCAGGCTTTGATAGATAGACTT